AGTCCTGTTTGCCCCCTTCACGGACCAAGTTTTAAAAATACGGACACTTTAAAATTGGCCTTATAAAAATTAATTGAATGGAACGCTGCGTCGCGTCGTGACATGCTGGCTCGACCGGCCAAGTCGCGCAGTGCCTGCAACCGCCAAGCGGCTATACCTGCTATTGTTATACATAGGGGGTTGGACTGCTGGAAAATGTAACAGTTATTGGACACTCACTCTTTGTCAATGACACTTAGCATTATACACATTTAAGTTGTCAATATTCAATGGGATAGGATGTTCAATGTTCTAATGGGATAGGATATGATGGGATGTGATGGGATTAGGTTCTGGTTAAGAAATAATGGTTGGATTGTACCAATGATCATCTACCGGATTAAATTGTTTGTTATAAAATTACTTACCTCATAACAGCTACAACTGTTGATTTTTCACTGTCTGAATAAATTCAGGCAGTTAAATGCGTTACTTCTTTAGTTGGTGTAAATAAGTGAAAATTGCGTGTTTCACAGATTGTTGTAGCCAGTCCACGCCTTTCCAGCAAGAATTCCGAATGTTCCTTATATTCTTATTTTGAGTTGAATTCAAAATGTACATTTTTAACAGCAACACAGTTTGTAGATGAATTAGAAATCCGATTACCAAAGTTGCAAATTCACGATTTTATTGCAAGAAGTCAAAGCAGCTTTTTTAAATATTCTAAAGAAAATGTAGGACCTGATGAATTTGTTGTCGTCGGCGATTTTGCGGAAAATTATTCCTTCGCTATCCAAGACGAAATCCAAAATTATCATTGGTCCAACAAACAGGCGACAATACACACATTCATTGCATATTATCAGGTGGATATTTGTTTAAACCATGAAAACTTTGTAATTATTTCGGATTGTCTCCAACATGACAGCACTGCAGTCCATTTATACCAGAAGAAATTAGTGGAATTTTTGAAGGAAACACATGGCACAACTATCAAGGAAATCAAATATTTTTCTGACGGAGCATCATCACAGTACAAAAATAAATATAATTTATTAATTCTCAATTTCCATTTTGAAGACTTTGGAATCAACGCCGAATGGCATTACTTTGCAACATCGCATGGCAAAAATGCATGAAATGGTATTGGTGGTTCTTTAAAACGTCTTGCTGCTCAAGCTAGTTTACAAAGACCGTTGGAAGACCAGATAACGACACCACAAAAATTATTTGATTGGGCAACTGCCAATATTAAAAATATACATTTGCAATTCAGCTCAACAGAAGAATATAAGGAACATTCGGAATTCTTGCTGGAAAGGCGTGGACTGGCTACAACAATCTGTGGAACACGCAATTTTCACTTATTTACACCAACAAAAGAAGTAACGCATTTAACTGCCCGAATTTATTCAGACAGTGAAAAATCAACAGTTGTAGCTGTTATGAGGTAAGTAATTTTATAACAAACAATTTAATCCGGTAGATGATCATTGGTACAATCCAACCATTATTTCTTAACCAGAACCTAATCCCATCACATCCCATCATATCCTATCCCATTAGAACATTGAACATCCTATCCCATTGAATATTGACAACTTAAATGTGTATAATGCTAAGTGTCATTGACAAAGAGTGAGTGTCCAATAACTGTTACATTTTCCAGCAGTCCAACCCCCTATGTATAACAATAGCAGGTATAGCCGCTTGGCGGTTGCAGGCACTGCGCGACTTGGCCGGTCGAGCCAGCATGTCACGACGCGACGCAGCGTTCCATTCAATTAATTTTTATAAGGCCAATTTTAAAGTGTCCGTATTTTTAAAACTTGGTCCGTGAAGGGGACAAACAGGACTATATGCCCATTTTTTTCAGATTTTTAAATATGTCCCCGCTATAAAAAAATGACAGTTGTTGTAAACAATTGCAAAATAAATAGTCAAAAAAATTTTTTTATTAATTGAAATAATTTTTATTTGATACTCCCATGGGTCTGCTACAAGTACCTAAAATTTCATTTTTATAACTTCTTTACTTTAGCAGCTATTATTTATTGAAAAAAAGGGAGCTCTATATTTCAAACAGATGTAAAACCAACAATTTTTAAAATTTTTAAAAATCCTTCGAGATACGTTTATATATCACTAAAGACTACAACATATTCAAAGTAGAACAAAATCCGACATGGTACTCCGAAAAGTGTCCGATTTCGCATGGAATGACCCCAGGGGGATTATGCCATATAACCGGAATTCTACTATATTGCAACAGGTTTTGAAATATACCGTGATCCCAGGTGCATTTTTACACACAACCTTTGTCAAGGAACTTCTCGTCGGACGAGAAATGCATTTTCCACAGTCACGAAGAAAATCATTGCAACGTTCCAAGCACGTGTCCCGTTGGACTACGAAGCGGCAAGAAAAGACGAGTTTCGGTAAATCTCGATGATGGCATTCTCGCCGCCTCTTCTTACGCTTCTTCATACTCCTCGATGGTCAGCTTATCTCACGCGTGCCATCGGCTCGATTGTGCATAACGTTGACGCGTGGCTCGCGACATGCATCGAACGTTGTAATTTATGTCTGCGGGCAGTGGCGCCTCTTTGATTCTAATATTTTGTTGGTGATAGAAAAATTGTATATATTTTATTCTGTATCTTGTATATAACTAGCTGTTACCCAGGTTGTTTGTGAAACCTATAGTTTAGAATTTATTGGGGATGGACAGTAGATTTTGAGTTACCTCTAGAATTAACAAACAGACCAAATTTTAAAAATGTGTATGTCTAAATCGAAATAGCCTAAGAATTTTTAGAATTTTGTAGGTATATTTTGATGATATTACTTCTTATTAGTTGGCCCTTTTGAGAAAAAGTTTGACGACCCCTGGATAACGCGCCACTGGTTGCTAGAAACGCGCCTCCACGCGTCCCTAGTTTGCAAAGAACACGCGGTCGCGGGGATATGATTCCACCTTGTAAAAGGAATCTTCGTGGTTGTTTTTTCGACTGCGGAAGTAACATGCATCGCAGGGCACGCTGCCGTGCACTGTAATTTTCGCGGCATACGTCCGTGAAGTCTCGATTACGCATGAATTTTAGTTCCGAGCGCGCGATGACCTAATCGAATTACTCGGTTGCTATTTTATTTTATTTCTATTTAACGACTTTATTCGCATACTTAAAAAACGAAATAACATGGTGAATAATTTATAATTGAATAATAACAACACCGTTAATCGTACCTTCTTCGTGAAAGCATCGATTACCCGCGAGTACATAAATCGAAACAAATAAAAATCTTAGTCGGTCAGTTAAAGATCTCGTATTGCTTCCATAAATTTAATTTTGTTTGCCAACCGTGACTTGTCCCCTCTTCAATCTTCGTCTGTTCCACCTTTACTTGTCTTCGAACCGAAACTATCTTCGCCATCAACGCAACCGACACTAAATGGGTTATAAATGATAGCAGGTAATTGTTTATCGTTCAGAATCGCGGACAACAATGATTTTTAATGCTACAGTAACATTTCATGCGAGTTTTTGCGAGGAAAACGTGTTTCTAAAGAGACGGAAACAGTTATGTTTCGCGAAGTCGGTGCCCAACAGAACAAACTTAAAATTTTTAATACTGATTAATTACTGCTTTTGGTTCTAGTGAGTGGAGCTGTCGACGCCAAATCTGCTATAATCTTCTAATTAGAACAATTACACGGTTGTGCCTCCAAAGTCGTATAAAAATCGAAAATTAACGTTGCCAAAATAAATGAGTAATAGAAATCGTACATAAAAAAATTTACAGATAATATTATTTTTGGCACACAACCATTTTAAATATTCAGATACAATTGATACAATTTTGTTAAATATTTATATAGCTTATGAAAATGTTACAACACAGTTTCATTCTATGAATTTATTGTAGAATAATTTGAAGTGATTTTACGTAGACGTTACCATTATTATAATAGTTAATGTTTTTCTAAAAATTATCATGATTTCAAACTTGTACCACTACAATGTTTCGTACCGATTGAGGAAACCGGTTGGTTAAGTCTTACGTTTCCACTGTGTTATTTATGAAACTTATAATAAATTAATTTGTTCTTACTAAAAGGTTTAACGTGTAATAATAAATGTCTTGAGGGTCAAGGTAGAATTTTCAATATTAATTTGCGTACAAATTAGTACCAAATAGAGGATGTAAGATAGAGTCTATCTTAAGTGGGAACGATTTTGGCAACTGTTCCGTGATTATGCGAGTTGTACTGAATTGAACGATCTTTGCACTTTCGATTACATGTTAATCGCAATTTATGTGTTTTAAATTATTCAGACAAGCGAAGTAGAAGATAAGCGAAGTCAAAGGCGTTTCAGAGGAAGAATATATGTATACAGTAAAACGATAAATACAATTACAAGTTCTACGCTAATATTGTTCACACTTTAAAACATATGTCTATCACACCTATAAAATTTTACTAATCTCTAGATTAAGACACTTAAGAGGATATTGTACTTTAAAACACATATTTTTAGGCTGCCTTTGATAATTTTTTGGTACGTAATAATATAACTTCTTTGTATTACATTTTATATAACATGCATTTGTATATCCCAAGAAATAAAAATTTATTGTACATAAAGTGCATCTCTATATCCAAATATAGTATACCTTCGAACGTAAAGTACCAAATCCTAAACCGATTATAGAATTTCGTAATTTTTTAAGAATTAATATGCATAATAACGCTTTTACGAACACTTTGCTTTTCATTTCTTTTTAGTGAATAAATTCGTTAAAGAAAATCAACAAGTAGAGGTGAATTATCGCAACGAATATGTTTCTCTATTAATTAACTTAATCGACGTTTCACCGAGGCACGGTAACAGCATTGTGTTAAATAGGAGAGAAACGGTCGATTTATTTCGCGACAGTACAGGAGAACAGACCTCTTTGTCATTCTCGTTGGACGAGCGCCATGAAAAGATACAGTAATTCCCTGTACTTTGTTTCAGAATGCTGTGGGGAAGATGCGTCTTCTAGTTCTCGTCTTGTCAGTCTGCTTGAACGTTCTCGAAATTACTCGTTGTCAAGAGCTTTCGGTCATCAGGCACTCCGATGGAGATATTTTCACCCTGGAAGGTAAGCGGTGGCGAGGTAGAACGATTATAAATCTCTCGAGAGCGTCGTTGTCGTCGTTTCTTGGCCGCTCTTTCAACGGTTAAATCATCGGTACGCGGACGGTCGAGCTTCGAGATTCGTAACTCGTTCGAAAAGTGCCTCCGTTTCCTCTACCGGGGAACGAAACTGCGAATCGCACGATCGTGACTCGCGATTTCGAGAGAAATCACGCACGGGACACGACGCGGAAAAAGAAAAGTTGAGGATTTCGCGCGTGGCCGTCGAGCACAAAGGCCGACTAGAAAAACCCTCGCGGCTGATTAACCATGAAATTGCGATTCAACGGTTTGACAGCTGTATTTCACCTGGCCAGATTATACGTGCCGTTTTCCTCAGTACGTGAATTCTCTCGTCTTTAAAGTTCACGTTCGGAACATTTCTGTCTTGCGTTCGCATCTGTACAGTTACTCGCGCTATCCTATGAGTCGATGGAAATAAAGGAGGTTTCTGAAATTGTAAAATAACGATTGAAAATATCAAATTTTAAATTGTACCGCCGTTTAATCGAGGGTTAATATTGGAAGTTCTTCCGAAATTAAATCTTCAGGTTCCTGCATGGAAGCTTGCACGGTGCTTAGCAGCGGGACAGCCAGTCCTTACACGCGTAGCCCTTCGACAGCAGGGCTCGTTCATCCCAACACCACCTGTACTTGCCAGTGCAACTACGGCCTGCCTACCTTCCGAGAGGATCTTCATATCTGCGTGAATGATATTCACGGTAGGTCTTTTTAATATTCTCATCGTGCACAGTCGCTTTCTATCAAAGATAATCAAAACGAACGCCCAGGGACTTCTTTTCAATTTAAAGCAATCGAATCGAACACGTGCACGCACGTTCGTACCTTTTCCTGTTACGAATGATTATATTGAAAATTCAGGATTTTCTCTGATCAAATCATAATCGAGTTATTTGCTCGCTCGTTGCGATGAAATTCTGTTACTTAATCGAGACTCCACTACCGAAGCAGGGTTTCCACGGTGTTCCAAGCCTCTCTTTGCGAATGATTCTTGAAGAAGACCTTGCAAGAACAATTGAAATCGAAGCGTACCGATAGTGTACATCGGTACAGTAAGTACATTGTCGATTTCCCATCCGCACGATTATATTTTAGAATCGAGTTTGTAACGGTACAGTGTACGTGTGCGTTTTATGACTGTTCGTTTCTCTTGCGATCATCCGAATCGGATTTTAACAATCCTTCGATACTACTTCGATGACGAATCTTCTGAGATTTAACCCCCCTAGCGACGCATGACCTATTTTACTTTAGCAGAATCCGCATTGGAATACACTTCGATTCCTAATACTTTCGTTCCACTGACCATTAATATTTTGTAAATTATTCCTTGAATTTAATTCGAAGATCTTGCTCCTGGATTCACATAATACCTAACATGATACATTCTTGATACATTGAATAAATATTATTCCATTTATGAATTTGCTTAGATTTTAAATCACCGTCCAAGAGTGTATCAGATTATTGCAGTGTATGTTTAGGAAATAAGGCACTGTTTTATCGAAAAAATATTAGTTTCCTTGTGTTTCAACTTTTTTCTTAATTATTATTCAATTACTTTACATCATACCTTGCTGTTAACCAGTAGCACCTTCTAGCACGATGCACGAAATGCATGCATTATTCCACGTATATCATTAGCTTGAACCTTCACCTCGCCAGTAGCTAATGTTGCAATGCACAAGTAGAAACGCTGATGAGACTTCAACGCAATGGTCCACGGCGAATATTTTATCGAAGAAATTACGCAGATAAATACGAAAGTTCCGTCTGGAGTCTGCATTTCTGCAAAGTTATCGCGGAAAATATAAACGTTAATGTGCGACACATGGTTCTTAAATGTGCAAATGGTAAATGCAAATCAAGAGGAACTTACGTAGTTCCTACTTGTCATTGTGTTATTCAGGAATTTTTTGTTTTTTAAGCTTCAGAGACTCTCGAGGTTTTGTTTTTTTAGTATAATATTCTCGGTGGAACACAAAAATTTCAAGAATCATGGCTTGAAATAGGGATTAAACCGATCACGTCCGAAAGTCAGTTCAGAGTAGTAGTAAAAGAAATATTAGAGTTTATCAATAAAATATTTGAAAGGTTTACAGTAGAATACCCCCTTTAGACTTTGTTGACACGAATATGTTGAGGATCTGCTGTAACGAACCTTGTTCTCTTGCAAGATCCTCAATTTCGAATAGAAATTTCAAGCGAGACCCATTATCCGTCGTCGCAACTTTTCTTTCCGTTTCGAACTCTGCTCCTCACGCTGTCGCTGCGTTTTCCGTTCTTTCGCAAGTAAGCCAGCGGTTACGCGCACGTACCGTTTTCAATCGAACCGCGTCATCGGAAATGATTGCTCCAGCTGTTGAAGCAAATCGTCCTCGTGCCGCACGTTTCTAAGCGACTTCGCCACAGCGAGAGCATGGACGTTGCATGCTTTATAATCCGCGCAGACTTGATTTAGTACGCGCCAGGCGCTACGCCTCGAGGTCTATTCATCACGACACGAAACAGTGAATACGATTCGACAACCGTTCTGTCTCCTAAATTTGCCAATTAAACATCGTAATTGATTGGCAAACATTTCCAAGTGATTAATGACAGATGAAGACCGAGACGAGGACCAAGAAAACTGCACTGAAAAATGTTGAAACATAGTTTCGATTAATCAATACGTACGAATTTAAGTAGACTTATTACTGTGCATGAAGTAACTGTTGCTAATTTACGTGAACGAAAAGTTTCGATGTTTGCAACTGGTCAAGGTGGTCTTGTCCCTTAACTTGTAACAAAATATTATACCCATGTTTTATAGAAAATCCCGTTTCGAAGATTTAAAATGAAAAGTGTTTGCAAGGTTACAGCTTACAACCCGATAACATAGCTGTAAATTGCCGATTACTGGTGTTTCGCACGGATTTGCATTTCTTGGTCTCCGAGTAACGAGTGATAAATAAGCGAAGGCATGAAATATATTCACTCTGCCACTGGGTGAAGATTCTGTGACCTTTGTTGACCGTTGCACCGACGCTCCTCATCGATCTCGAATTTCTAGGATCAAGAGAATCGCGAAAACACGTCGAGAGACCGCTGGACGGTGCGTAGGCGATCGGAGACTTCGATGCACGAACAAGATACGAATGCGCGAGAAAAACAGCAACACGGCTCGGTAATACGCTGCATTCGATCGAATTCTTGATATCTTAGCTGGAAAGATCGATTGTAAAATTCACTCTAAATTATTAGGTTTCATAATAACATTCCTTAACTTTATTTTGTAAAAATTAAGTACGTGCCTGACGATCTGATATTTTTTAATTTCTATCAGTCAAGAATTATTACCAAGAGATCTATAAGTAACAGTATAGGTAGTGTAAAAATTCGAAATTCTTTCTGCGCTAATCACCGGGGGAAGGTTTTCTTTATCTCGTCAGAAATCATAAAGGTTAGCGACTTGGAGAAGCCTTTAACTTTCCATTTTAAAACTTCGATTCCTTTATCTCTCCGCCGTTTAAGGATTCTCTTCTCACTCGTACTGTCAGAGTATTCCTCGCCTTGCACGATGATTCGTAAGGTTGCCTCGCAAAAGAGTTGCACAACCAGCCTCGCGTTCGTCAGACACATGCGTCGTCTGTTTTCCATTACTCATCGTTGCAGCCATGTTCGATCTCCAGATAAACGCGAATCGCATGGCGCCGATACTGAACCATTCAAACCCGGAGACGATCCCCATTCACCACATGTTCTTGCATCGCCCTGACCTCAACCGATGACCTTCAGGCCTCAGAAAATCATCTCGAGTCATTAGCATTCGCGTTCCCGCGTCTCCCACGTGGCTCGCTCCTTCCGTTACGACACACGAATCTCTCAATTCTGAACATCCTGCTCGTAACCGTAAACCTTGTCGCCTTTTAACGGCAATAAATACTCGCGTACGCGTTTAATCGCACCATTGTGAGTCCCGAGCGAACGAGCATGTAATTTTCTTCGACGCTATCCAAAGCAAAGCCATGTTACCAGGGCGCAGACGGACACCGGTAAAAATACAAATTAACAGTGGCCAACGGGTCACAGTATTTTAATATTATTGTAATACGTTAACACTTTTAGAACTAAAATTTAATTTTTTCTTCAACTAAGTTACGAATTTTATCCTCGTCCTGTTTCCCACCATTTGCAACTCTGTTTGAGCGCAGTCTTGCGATCGCTCCTCACTCGTCGGATCTTCCTGACATTAATTGGCTCGTAGCTGTGACTCTTCGACAACTCGACAGCTAGAAGAAGCGTTCTAGCTCGTGGAAAGCTTCGTTACCCATCCCAGATCTAGTTGAAGCATAATATAAATAATAGTAATCATTAATAGGAATCAAAAATATATATGGTTGGATATATTGTTGCATCCAGTGGAAAAGCGAATATTCCGTTTCAAGTTTCGATTACTACGGAATGTACTTAATTAAGCAAACCGTTTAATATTTACGTTGCTAACGTACAGTTTGAAGGGAATTGCTCGATGCTTGATAATCTGTAAATCGTGATTCAGCGATCGCGAGCTATGAATAATAATGGAATGCCTTCGTGATTTCTGACCGCCACGAGATCCGTGCATGCTTCGCGGCGTCTATTAAGGTTTGCCTTGTAATATCAGAGTGATCGAGGATTACAACCCCTGCAATGATTAGTGATCGTTGCACGTTCATATCAGGATCTGAAATCAATGATTCTATCACGGAACTGACCGGAGTATAGTGACCGATAAATCGATTTGAAAATATTTAAGTCGAACGCGGTCGCGAGATTCAACAGTCCATTAGCTAAGCTTGTAAGCGTGGGTCAGAAATAACCCGCCACTCGGCTGTTAAAAATGTAACATGTGCGTTATTTAATAGCAATACCACGGATGATGGTTATTTACAAAGTACAGTTTCGTTCGCACGAGGAAAGTATATACAGGAACATTATTACTAGTCGTGATATCCTACGATCTTACAGAACCCTTCGTGCATTCATATATCGCTTTATATTTGATGCATGCCGTAGCGAAAGGATTAATATTCCATAGCCAAACGCTGTAATTTCCTTGCCGCACCATAGATACTGTTCTCCATCGTAATTTCTTCCTTAATACGTTATTTTATTTACGCCTGACAATAAGTTATTCCACAAACGAATTCTCTGTATGAAATTCACAGATAATTATACATATTAACGCCACTTCGAAGAGTCCTTTAGCTTTCTCAAGTATCTTATGACAGACGAATGTTATACGTCGCTATAAATTTGTGAAATGTTCAACGCTTTAAAGTCAGTCCTAGGAAATTAAATGGAATTAAAAATATAAAACGTGTTACTATCGTTACTGTAATTCTGATTTGTTAGTGAGCAAGAAAGAAAGCTCCAATCAATTATATTGAGTTTTAATATATTGTTGCATGAATTTGCTCACGATCAGAGTCATCGATTGTGCATTCCACTTCTTCGGTATGCAACTTTCATGGGCGCGAACTGTGTGCACGACACGGCATCGCTTAACAACGAGGGATTCTCACAATACCGATCGAAATCATGATTGCCTTCGACTTGCACCCGAGGATGCGCTTAAACGTTCTATAACTTACAACTAACCATTCGATACGTACTACCACATTTGCATACATTATCAGCGCATGTATAAGCAAAATAGTAATAATTTTTGATGCAACTA